CCGAGGCCAAATCTTAAAGAAGATTCGTCCTCTTATCAGTCCATATGGAATAGGTCCATAGTACCTGAAATCTGCAGAATTCTGTAGATTATCACCTTCTGACCAAACATGACCCATTGGCACCTATTGCTCGTATTTCTGCCCTTGTCATCAGCATGAGCATTATCCTCTCCAATGTAGTGCCAGATCTTTGCCTAGTTCAATTCCTTCCTTCTACTGATGGCCCAACACTGATAACTGGGCAATTGCAAGTATCACCACTCTTAAGCAGGGCTTAATCAAACAATCTTGAGATGGTTTCAGCACAAATCCAAGGCTTTTGTTTGCATACTACAGAGTCTAAAACAATCCCAAATTCTTCTCCATTGCTTCTCAAGTTGGTGCTGTGGTAAGAACATAGGTTCTGGAATCAGATTACTAGGATGGGATTTAGTTTCTATCACTCGTTAGAGATGAGAACTTGGACAAGTTACTTGATGACTGTATGCCTCATTTTCCTGATCAATAGAATGAGAATGATAACCACTTCCTTCATAAGGTGACTGTGAGAATTAAACAAGTTGTATGTTTCCGACATAGAGCAGTGTTTGTCACATAGACAAGCAATAAATAAATGGCAGATGTCAATTATTATAAACATTTTATTATTGTCAAGGGATCATCAAGAATTATGAGGTAAAATATTTTGGAGTGCTTAATAATATACGATTATGAGCCAGAGAAAGCCCTAAAGCATAGGTCTCAATTTCACATAGCAGTTAGTCAACCTCTGGGCTAGCTCCACTGTTAGTTGGAATACTTCCTTGGAAGAGATTGGCAAAACTACTACTTGTTTTTCACTTTTAACTTTTTTTTGAAAAGACGCATAATAAACACCAATGTTATTCAAATAAACGTAGGGATCATATGTTTTCCAATCACATTATAGCATATTATTCAAAGCAAAGACACATTTCCAAAAGTCTAAAGAACAATACAATCTGTCATTACCAAGTTTGGAGCTAATATTTTTAATTATTTTAAGGTAGATCGTGAATGGCAAATAAGAAAGTTTGACATTTCTAACCTATTTGGATATGACCTCATAGGATTTGCTAAAATTCTACTCAATACTGTTCTTCCTTGTATTTAACCCCAACTAAAATCATTTATCAATTGTTAAACATCTATTAAGATTTGGATAAGTTGTAATAACACTGTCTAAAATAAAAATAAATTTTATGACTTTAACAGCACGGTAATATGCACATCTGTGACAGCCAAGAAGCTTAAAGAGAAAATTGTTGCCAATAGATCTTTCATAGTGTTTTGTATAATGTACAGGAAAGAACTTTGGCTACCTACATTCTATTTAAGTGTCAATTACAACTAAAATTGGTCTTACATTTTGTAATTCCCTCCCTGTAACCTAATCTACAGCCACTGGGTGCCTGGCCAATCTCAGAACGTGCCATGCTGTTTTGAATGGCTCTTTTCTGCAATTAAAACTCTCTCCTTCTCTTTTTCTCACTCTAAGAGAAGATACAAATGACATTATTTGACTTCCCTGAAAGAAGTAGTTGCTTCTTGTTTTTAATTCATTCAGTTCAGTAATTTAACATTCAGTGATTACTTACCTTTTTCCCGAACTAGGAAAAAGTCATTGTTTGGCTTTCCTCATGCTCACCTTAGCTATGATATAGGGTCCTCCTCTGATCTGCCCTCTTGCAGTCTTCTCCTTATAGGAAGAGGATTGGTTTAACATACTGGTGCGATGGGCAGAACTTCTCACCCCTTTTACCACATTAACCTCTGAAAGAACTTCTTGCATCAAAGGCACGGAGGTTGTAGTTATGTTTCTGATTCTCATCTGCAATCAAGGAAACTTGAAGCAGGCTGACATTCCCCACATGACTGGGTAAGTATCTTTCTGTAGACCTAAATCTCCTATAAAGGGGTCCCCAAGTCAAGCAATATTGGGTGAAGGAATGGATAGGAAACACATTTTAGTTTTGGGCCCAAGCTGTGCTTGTCAATCCATCTATACTATTGATATTAACCCCAATCTGACTCCTCTATTTGTCAATTGGATGAGAATCTGTAGAGCCAGAAGGATGTGATTATTTAGGGTTCCCTCAAAAACTCTCAGTCTCAGGAACATGAACACTACTCCAGTGAACAACACATAGTTCTGATACCCAGGAAAGTTAAAATTTGATGGTGTTTTCACAATATTTTGCACCTGTCTCCACAACAATGGGATTTTAATATTTTGTTTAACTTCTGCTTCTTCATCTATACCACAAGCAGTGTCAGGCAGGAATGAACTCTTTCTCAACCATATCACCTCAGAATCTAGCAAACCGGTAGGTGCTAATAGGTGGTTATAAATTGTGCACAGATAAACAATTGCCATGGCATGTTTACCCTGACCAACTTAAAAATAAGGGACTGATTTTATTTTTTATTTTTATTCTTATTTTGGGGGCCTGATTTTAAAGACTAACCCTCAGAATTTATTTTTGAAACTGCTAGTAGATTTCTAGGATAGGGCTTTCAGTTCTCATGGTCTCAAGTTTAGCAAAACTTCTATAAAATAGCACTATGCTCTCTCACGTGTCATTTTTACTCTTTCTGGCCTTTCTTGTTTCTGCCTAAAAAGGAACTTTCTAAATTAGTGTGTCCTATAAATGTGACTTGGAGTCCTACCACACCTGACTTTGGGTGGAGAAAGTTGGGTTCATAAAGGTTAAGTGGAACACAAGATTCACAAACATCAAAGCGCGTACTGATTCCCTGAAGATCTTGTTAAAATGTAGATATTTATTTAGCATGTTGGGCTAATACCCATGTAACAAACATGCACATGTATCCCTTGAATCTAAAATTTAAAAAGAAAAAAGACTACATGCAGTCTAAAAAAAAGACATATTTGATAAAGGATTGTTATCAAAACTATACAGAGAGCTCTTAAAATTCAACAAGAAAATGAACAACCCAATTAGACAATGAGCAGAAGATCTGAACAGACACCTCACCAAACAGAATACATGGGTTACAAATAACTTTATGAAAAGATACAAAACAGGATGTCATTAGGGAATTCCAAATTTAAAAAAATGAGATACCACTATGCACCTGTTAGAATGGGAAAATTCCAAAACATTGACATCACTAAATTCTGGCTAGGATGTGAAATAACAAGAAGTCTCATTTATTGCTGGTGAAAATGCAAAATGGTACAGGTACTTTGGAAGATAATTTGACTATTTCTTACCAAACTCACCATACTCTTACCATACAATCCAGCTATCATCCTCCTTGGTATTTACTCAAAGAATTTAAAAATTGAAATGTAAATCATAACCACAGCAATGCTATCTCACACCAGTCATGATGGCTATAATTAAAAAGTCAAGAAATAACAGACACTGGAAAGGCTGCAAAGAAGAGGGATGCTTATACACTGTTGGTGGGAGTGTAAATTAGTTTAATCATTGTGGAAAGCAGTGTGGCAAATCCTCAAAGAGCTAAAAACAGAACTACCATTTGACCCAGCAATCCCATTACTGGATATATATATTCAAAGGAATATGAATTGTTCTTCTATAAGGACACATACATGCATATGCTCACTGCATAACTACTCACAATAGAAAAACATGGAATCAGCCTAAATGCCCATCAATGGAAGACTGAATAAACAAAATGCAGTACATATGAAATACTATGCAGCCATGAAAAAGAATGCGAACATGTCCTTTGCATTAACATGGATGGAGCTAGAAGCCAGGCAGGATCAGAAAACTAAATATTGCATGTTCCCACTTATAAGTGGGAGCTAAATGATGAGAACACATGGAAACATAGAGGAGAACAACAGAAACTAAGGCCAACTGGAGGGTAGAGGGTGGGAGGAGGGAGAAGTTCAGATAAAATAACTAATGGGTACTAATAGACTTAATACTTGGGTGATAAAATAATCTGTACAACAAACCCTCCATGACACTAGTTACCTGTATAACAGAACTGCCCATGTACCCCCGAATTTCAAATTGAAATGTTTTTAAAACCCTGCACACAAATGTTTAGGGCAACTTTATTCATAATTGTCAAAACCTGGAAGCCACAAAAATGTCCTTCAGTAGATGAACAGATAAACTCTTATACATTCAGACAATGGAATATTATTCACCATTTAAAATAAATGAACTACCAAGTCATGATAAGAGATGGAGGAAACTTAAGTGCATATCACTAAGTGAAGGAAGCAAATCTGAAAGGGCTACTTGGAGCATGACTCCAACTATATGACACTCTGGAAAAGGCAAAGCAATAGAGGCAGTGGTTGTCAGGGGTTGGTAGGGAGAGATAAAAGAGTAGAGCACAGAGGGTTTTTAGGGCAGTGAAACTATTCTGTAAATCACTATAATGGGTGGATACATGTCATTATACATGTCAAAACCCAAAGAACTGCAACACCAAGTATGAACCCTCATGTAACCCATGAACTTTGGTTGATAATGACATGTCAATTCTAATTATTGATTGTAACAAATACACTACTGAGATGCAGGATGTTGATGATGGGAGAAGCTGTGCATGTGGGGTGGGGAGAGGGTATAGAAACTTGATACTTTCCACTCAGCTTTGCTAAACCTGAAAGTGCTCTGAAAAAGGTTTGCGTATTTAACAAAATAGATATGATCACACCAGAGAATTCATTCTGGGAACTAGATAGTTTTGGTTGGTGCACAAAACTGATCAAATAAACCACATATACCAAACCTAACGTCTACTAGGTTTCTCAAATAGCGGACACTGGGAAACATATTACAATCGGCAGGCATGTCTTTGAAAGGTGAAGATTAAAGAGCCGTTTTCTAGACCTCCTGAGTCAGAATTTCTTGGTGCTGCAAGTTAGTGCTCTGCAGTTTAGGAAGTTGGTCAGGTCGCTTTTCCGTGCCGGCCAGTCTTCTACTCATAGCCACACATTTTGGGGCACAGAAGCAGGTGCCAAATTGATTCCAAATCAGTTTTAATAACTTTACCTTCTTATTGAGAACAATCAACAAGCCTAAAATTTGTGAAAAACCATTAAATTATCTACATATTCTGTTGCTCAAACCATTATAAATTAAGGAAATAAGCCATGTAAATAATAGTGAAATAGATTCATTTGGGAAAATGCATATATATCTCTGACACCACTTTGAAAAGGAGTAAAAACATGAATGATGTGTGATTTTGGCAAACAGTACAAATATGTTAATAAATCACAGAGATTAAATCATTATCAGCATTATCTTTACTGTAAGACATACTAAGAATATTCTAAATAAGACAGAAATATTTTGCTTTTAAGTTTGAGAGAATCATGAAGGAACTGTTCAGCTTTGTGTGTTCATCTGATAAGAGGACAGCTAAATGTATCCTCCCCATATTTCCTGTTTCTATTTTTAAGAATACCACAAGCAGCAATTCTAATATGTCTTTCTTACATAAGTCGTCCACAAGTGCAGCCTGCCTAAAAGAGCCTATCTAGAAGTGGTTGCTTAAAATTCTAGGTGTCATTGGCTAAATAACAGTGACTCAAAAGAATATCTGCACTCCCAGATCTAAGGAGCTAAAACGTAATGCCAGTGTTATATAAGAAACTCTCTCCACCACAAAACCCCGGTTTTGTCTTCCTATATGTTTACCCCACTTACACTCTCCACTCCATAATTTCACACATTATTTTCTTTAATGACACATTTAATCTAGTATTTTGAGCTTCAAAAGGAAACTGAAAATGTAATATCAACTTGATCATGCACCATTTCTGTTGTCACCCACCCCACCTAAAATATACACCACACACACAGGCGTACGCACGCTCACACACACAAACACACACACACAGAGATCACATTCATTTGTGCAGCAGCTCAACCCACATATTTGTTCAAGTGGATTTTAACTTTTGCTACCCACTTTGTATAAAGACTATTACATTATTCAGTAGCAGCACCTGAGAATTCTAATCGCCTCAAACTGTTGAATAAAGTTATAGGCTATTTTTGAAATAATTTAACTCAAGTACTTTGGAAATTCCAAATATTGGAATCCATCTTTGCTGTGCTCTTAAGTGGCTGCAACCTCAGTATTTTAAAATAAATGATTAGCAAACTAAAATATGTCACTACAGATAATTTGCCCTGATTCCTTAGTAAGAATAACAGCAAGAAGCAGATGTGGTGAATGAGAGCGTATTGACCCCAGCTGACCAATTAAATATTCTGGGTTTTCCTCCATTCCATTAATTGCACTTTAACTTGCTATCAAGTCAAGCATGAAGCAGTTTAAGCTATCAGTCTTCACTTGCCCAATAATACCTATTCTGACTAACTTCTAAGCTATTCGGATGCCCACAAGTCTATCAATTCAGCAGCATTATGTCACATTCTTATCCATCAGTCTATGTGACCCAAACAGTGAGTCACTACTTTATTCATCAATGTACTATACGTTGACTGCTCCACTAATACTCATATTTGTCTATCAATCTCACGGAGTAGATACAAGCATTTGCTTGCCAGGTATGGGGAACATCTACTCTGCATCTAGTTGGTATATTCTATATTTTTATTGCACCATTTATTCTTTTCATTTTCTTACATCAAGTCTAAAATGATTTCTCCTTTGCATTTAAGAAACACCATTCTTAGATTGACAGAGAAAACATTTCTTATCATGAAAGATTGACTTGAAATATAAAATCATTACTATATTTATGGTTGGTTAGTCAAATTGGGACATTTTGTTTTCAAGAGTGTGTAGTAAACTGATCCAGATAACACAAACCTCTTTTCCCTACAAGTCTTTCCAATAGCTTCAAAAGCAAGATTGAGTTTGTATACTGGGTGAATTGGAGCTAAGTTTAAATGTTCTACTATTCTGCTACTCATGATATCAATCAGTTTTGGAGAGATTTTCTTGTTCAAGGTTATAATATAAAAAGCTCCCAAATAAGTTTCTGGGAGAAATTTTAATCATTTGTCCTATGGACCCTTAAGACCCAAGGACTAACATGAACATTTTTAAAGTAAAAATTCTCAAAGTGAGAAATATTATTTGACATCCTGTTGGGCCCAGACAATGATGTTGACATGCTGGTCATTCAATGCCCCCTGTTGGAGTCAGAAATAGACTTAGCTCCTCACACATATGGATGCATATTCTGTTGGTGCTTCTTTCACAGGTCTTGCGTGTCTTGAGTTCACTCCAATGATGGAATGGTCCAGGGAAGCATAAACAATGCACGGTTTGTTTTCTTCCAGGCATGAATTAGAATAAACTTCAGACCCTTCCTGCATCCTGAAACAAAGGTCAGGGTCATTATCATAAATTCCACTTTCTGATAGCAATACTTGGGAATTTTGCCTGGTGCTTGCTTCTGTTTTCTCACTTTTAAAGGGAACATCAACCTATAATAGAAAAAAGATGGTTTTAAGTGACACTTTGGGCCATGGTAGGGCATATTCGTTAGCAAACTACGAACGAGAGGCTTTAATGGAGTCATGTCCATTGTGAGAAATAATCTACTGTTCCTCACACGTGCTGCTGACATCTACGTTTTCTGCTAAATCTCAACTGTTGAAGGATGAAAGGCTTGAGAATCACTATGTACCCCCCAATAGTTATTTTGTGCTTTATTATTGGTCACTTTGAGGTCACAGAACATTTTTAAATCCCCCTTCAAGATGAAAAGCATAGCCCAAATTAATGGAAAAAGCAAAAAACATCTTATAAAAACTTCAGGCAGTTTGTAACACAATGAATAGCACTTAATGCAGTTTAGAATAAAAAGATTAAGGATAAAGCAGAACAGATATCTCCTAAGGGGACAGAAAGAATTATGAGTTAGCCATGGTATATCATTAGAATTTGAGACCTCGATTTAAAAAATTGATGTCAGTTTTGGAAAGATAAAGCTTAGGAAAAGTTCTAAAACAATATTCCAGTTGTTATTTCTATCACAAGAAAATTCTTGCAGTTTCAAATATAGCCAAATATCTTAGAGCTTCTGAGAAAGAGGTAATGTGTAGAAACAAAAAGTAAAATGAGTCCTGTTGTTTTCTCACTCTTCAGTTATTTCTTAGCCATTCCTGCTTATACAAAGGCTCACCTGACAAGGCAGATGTGTTCATTCTAGGGGCTATTTCAGTTTTTCTGTTCGTTTTTTTTTTTTTTAATTAATTAATTATTTTAAAGAGATGGGGTTTCTCCATGTTGGCCAGGCCGGTCTCAAACTCCTGACCTCAGGTGATTTGCCCATCACAGCCTCCCAAAGTGCTGGGATTACAGGCATGAGTCACAGTGCCCGACCGTTATTTCAGTTTTTTAAATTCCAGTTTTGCCCATCAATTTATGCTCTCGAAGTCTGGCCTAACTTTTTTCAGGTATGAGGTCCACAGTCTTTGAAAGTCTACATACTTTATCTGGTCCTTTGTCACCCTCACTGTGATGTGTGCAGTAGGATGCCTATGGCATTTCCTTGGCAGAGTTCTATCATGTAAGCATGTCTGGCTTTACCCTGAGAAGCTAAGTAATAATTCCTGACACAGTGCCTCCCTCTGATGAGGTGGCTGCTCAGAAATAACAGTAAGGCTGAGCCGCTAAAGGGGCAGAGGTTGTTTGGCTAAGATGGAAAGTTCTCCCAACTCCACTGAAAGACGCCTGGCTGAAGTCAGTAGGTGGCACACTGAAGAAGACTGTCACGTGAACTGAAAAATAGTCTTTGGTCCTCAATATATCAACACGGTTCCTGTGATACTTTTCAATCTGTTTAAGCCTGTCAGTTCAGCTACCTGTCTACCTGTCTCTCATCCCAAGAAATGGCTCATTTCCATGAAAAATTTTGTTAAAATGAATGGAGCGAAAGAAAATATAGTGCTCTGTAGCACCCCTGCTGTGGCACCCAGCAAAGTGGCTGACTGCCACAAGGCCAATCCACGACAACATGGTGGATAGAGATGATAAAGCCAGAAACAGCAATCCCATTACATTCCTAAGGAAGGTTACCAGTATACAAAGCACTTTAAAATGGGTATTTAAAGTATATGTTTAGATATCATTCACATGCCATAAAATTCACTCTTTGAGGTGTACAATACTCTTTAAAGTGGTTTTTATTAGGCAAGCACTTTATGCCCTCAAAGGATCATTCTGGATTAAGATCAGAGCTTTGGCGTTTAGACGTAGCTGTCATGTTTTTAACAGTTCCTTTCTGTATTTTGATTTCTCCGCAGTTCCCCTACTAGTTTTATGTTAAGAAATATTTAGCCCCAAGGATCAAATACGGTATCCTTTTTTTTTTCTGAAATGCTAAACATCTGAAATGGAGCAAAAATCTTTAAATTTCTGTGAATAGCAAGAATACCTTGAAACAAACTTCCCAAACTATTGCACACACAGAAAAAAACTCTTTTGAATTAAGCTTCAAATCATAATTTGTCCAGCCTACCCAGGAAGAAAAATGACCACAGCTTAACCAAACTGGATTTTAGTTGCACAGTAAATTATTTAGATTTTTGTCTTAAATAGTTTCATAGCTTTCAGGCCTTATTGTAATTAAATGAAATTATCATTATTATTTACTAGAGAAAGAAAGTAATATTTTGGCTAGACGTAGTGGCTCACGCCTATAATCCCAGCACTTTGGGAAGCCAAGAAAAGTAGATCACTTGAGCTTAGAAGTTCAAGACCAGCCTGGCCAACATGGTGAAACCCAATCTCTATTAAAAAAATACAAAAATTAGCTGGCCATGGTGGTGGGTGCCTGTAATCCCTGCTACTGGGGAGACTGAGGCAGGAGAATTGCTTGAACCTTGGAAGCAGAGGCTGCAGTGAGCTGAGGTCACTCCATTGCACTCCAGCCTGGGTGATGGAGTGAGACTCCATCTCAAAAGAAATAAGAAAATAATAATTAAGAAAATTTCCCTATCTGAGGGAACAAAGCCTTAGCACCCAACACAGTGCCTACGGACGTTCACTAAAACTTCATAGAAGTTTATCAAGTTGAATGTATTTGGTTTGGTTTAAAATTAAGCCGCTTGGTGGGGAATGTTGAATGCCATTTAATGTTATATACAGAATTATTGGCTTTATCGACTTTGTATTTTGTGGAATTTTTAAGAGGATTACTACCTCTATCACTATTCTTCCTTACAGGAACACGCACACGCACATTTCAAGTTCCTTTGCAGTATCTCTAATAACCAGTTTTAATTCGAGAGCTTCAGAATTTTTTCCCGCAAATATATCGCCTCATCTCGCATTCTTTTCTAGTTCTAATATCTCCATAACATTCAACTCAAAATAAAAGCCTACATTTATATTCCAAACCTTGTAGGAAAGATTGTCTCCAAAATTCCCTTCCTTTAGTCTGGGTGGTCCCATCCCTGATGAGCCCACACACGTTGCCAGGGACCTCTGTGCAATAACTAAGCCAAAGATCATGTTTCTACTTTGCTGGTGCTATATATGAAGATATCTAATATTTTATGAGGCTGTTTATGGATTCATTCTTTCATTAGCTCCCTACTCTCTTCCGGAGAGACTTTAAGGTGTTTTCATAAAAATAAATGACTAGCCTGAATCCATATAATAGGCAAGAGCAGAGTCAAGTCTTCATGGCTCAGTCTCTGACTTTTCTGTCTCAGATCTATACTGCCTTCCATGAACTTCCAAAGAACCACTTATTATGAGACTTGTTAACCCTAAAGAGCTTTTGCCGCAGAGAGAGCTGAATGTAAAATTCACATTTTAAAAAAATGAGTCTAGGCATGTATATATATATATGGAGAGAGAGAGAGAGAATACCTAGAATAATGATGCCTGGCACATGGTAAGCACTATATAAATTCATTGAAAAAATAAACACGGTATAACACAAATTTCATTTGTTTCAACAGATACATCAAGCATACCAGGATAATTTCCTTTCCTGCTGTGTCAGAAAGTTCATTTTGCTTTCCTGGAAGACAAAAGGAAAAATAAGTAATCAAAAGGAGTAAAGAAAACAGAAGTAAACCACCGTGCCATCCATGCTTACCCTGTTGAATGCCTGGGATAGGATTGTTACTAGTTTTTACTTGATGATTTGCTTTGCCTAGCATGCCACACACACTTGTTTGTGAGAATTCACACTGACCAGCTCTCTCTCGTTCATCACTTTTCAGTCCACATAGCCTCATGGCATACTGAAGAGGAAGGGAAAGGACCTATATATTACTTGGAAAAGACTGGAAGTCCTTGCTTTGGGGATATTCCGTACTCAATGACAGAAATGTTGCTGTCCTGTCACCTATGTAGCCAAGATCTCTTACTACCTAGTTCACTTTGGATGTGGTAAATCAGAAGATTTATCTCTGACTCCTTTTCTGAAGTTCTGAGAGAGGTTCCAGAAGTCTCAAGAAAGATGATGAAAGATACAGAAAGGCCATAGAAAGAGCCATGGGTTGCAGATGAAGAATTGGGGTAAGAGAGAATTCTTCCGAATCCAGAGAAGGCTGTGGACTCCAGAAATTCTCACTTCACAATACCAGAAGCACTTTTGCCAAGTGAAAGGTGACTCCTGTGGCACCCTGAATAAGGGTTGCTCCATCTATCTCAGTTTCTATAGCTACACTGTAACTGATGTTGTGAAAACAGGAATGGGAGAGGATAGAGGAGAAGAAAAAGGAAAGAGAAAACTGGTGTGGTTCAGGCCAAAGCTAGATCAGACTTCTCCATGCTTTTCTCTCTTAACCTGTTTGGTCACGACATTGAGGGAGTTCTTACAAAAGTAGAAAGGAAGTATTTTCAAAATATCACACCTCTCCCATCATAGCCAAACCCACATTTTTCAAATGCATTATTGTTGGGTAAGGATTCAGGTCAAGCATATGTTTGTTACGGCAACAGGAAGTACACAAGTATTAATTTTCTCTGGGGATGTTGGTTCTTCAGTTAGGCAATGGCATGATGTGGTGTGGCTGAGAGGAGAGGTCAGTACAAAATAACTCTAATCAGGTATCTTGACCTGAGACATTGTTTCAACGTTCAGTCCTGTTAAGCTTAGAAGAGCTCTTTCTCACACAAACCTAAGATTCATGCAGATAGAAAAGTGAAGCCTCAGCAATGTGCTGTGCTCACCACAAGCTGGCTGGAACACTGTGTGTGCTGTGGTAAGCATGCCTCTCTCATGACTCAAGGGAGCCCCAACTAAAACCCATTTGCTTTTTCAGCACAAGTATGAGTTGTCTCCCAGAAAATCACTATCCATGGTTTACCACAGGATTGGGAAAGAAAATAACAGGAAGAAACTAAAATCTGTTAGCTCCAGAAATAAGAATAGCCCTAAATGTGTGGTACAGGGGGCAGAAGGACAATAGAACCCACCTTGGTGCCTTCTCAGGCAGAAGATGAGTAGAGGCAATGCCCCCAAAGGAAGTAAACTATACAGGAGCCATGGTCTGTCGGCCATTTCATCCTTGGAGGGTCGTTCCGAGGTACTGTTTACATCTTGAATGTTAGTAAATGCTAATGAGAGTTAGGAAATATGAGATATATTAGGATCAGCAGCACCCCACTGCATTGTCAGAACTTGAATGAAGGAGATTTCAGGCCAATGCCCCCATTTCCCCTTCAGAGGCATTCCTCAAGAATCCCAGTGCCTTCATATATACCATGGAATACTATGCAGCCATAAAAAGGATGAGTTCATGTCCTTTCCAGGGACATGGATGAATCTGGAAACCATCATTCTCAGCAAACTGACACAAGAACTGAAACCCAAACACTGCATGTTCTCATTCATAAATGGGTGTTGAACAATGAGAAGACATGGACACAGGGAGCGGACCATCACACACTGGGGTTTGTTGGGGGTTGGAGGGCTAGGGGAGGGACAGAAGGGGGTGGAGAGATTGGGGAGGGATAATATCAGGAGAAATACCTAATGTAAGTGACAGGGGGATGGAGGCAGCAAACCACCATGGCACATGTATACCTATGTAAAAATCCTGCAAGATCTGCACATGTACCCCAGAACTTAAAGTAAAATAAAATAAATAAATAAAAAGAACAGTGTTGGTATCCCAGTAAGAACTCAGTACACAGCAATATGGCCATTAGAACTCTTCAATGAAAAAAAAGTCCCAGTGCCCTTAGCCACCTCTTGCTTTCTTGCTGAGCAGATTTGGCTATGCAATAACCTTTTGCACAAATTCTTAATTCTCATAGAGTTAATCTTCCATATAACAACCTTTATCAACCTTTATTTAGCTGTCAGAAGGTACTTCATTAAGCCTTTCTCTTTACAGTATCTAACTTTCTTTAAGCCTTTCTATTTACAGTCTCTAACTCTCATACCCATCACTTAAGAAAAGTAGGAAAGCCACTGTCCGTATTCCGCCCCAAGAATTGCCCCAAGTCAGATAGCTAGTGAGTAGCAACAGGAGCTCAAGCCAACATGTTTATAACATGAAATTCAAGTTTCTTCAACACAATGTCTTTTCCTTGTCTCATAACTCACTGGAATCTCGAGATACCAAATACTTTTTATATCCTCGAAAGTGCTCTGCATGGCACACAGCTAACGCGCATTACTGTTGGTCAGTGTTAATATGTGTCAAGGCCCTGTTTGTCTGCATTTGTTCACAGCTCATTAGCAGGTTGTGAAACAATTTACTAGGTCACAAATAGCATTTTAAAAAATGAAACAGAAGAGGATCAAAATCAGCAGAATGCATCACCCACACTAGAGCAGTGCTTCTCAAGCAGGGAACATGTGGCAATGTCTGGAGATATGTTTGCCGGTAACAAGGTAGGGTGATGGAGGCTGGCAGCTAGTGAGTAGAAGTCAGGGATTCTGTTACACACCCTACACTATACGGATGAACCTCCTCTTGGTGCAGCAAAAAATATTCCAGACCAAAATGTCAACAGAGAAACTCTGTCTTACAGTTAAGCATGGCCATATGAAACTTTTTTATATTTGTGTGTATTACGGGCTATGATGTAAGATCTATTTTTTTTTTATTTTCGGTTACTGTTGACTCAGATGAAAAATACTGGAGTAAGATATTCTAAGGCCAGGCATGGTGACTCACACCTGTGATCTCAGCACTTTGGGAGGCCAAGACGGGTGGATCACTTGAAGTCAGGAGTTTGAGCCCAGCCTGGCCAACATGGTTGAAACCCCATCTCTATTGAAATACAAAAATTAGCTAGGCATGGTGGCATGTGCCTGTAATCCCAGCTACATGGGAGGCTGAGGTAGGAGAACTGCTTGAACCCAGGAGGTGGAGGTTGCAGTGAACCGAGACGGCACCACTGTGCTCAGCCTGAGTGACAGAGTTAGACTCCATCTCAAAAAAAAAATTCTATTAATTCTGTTATAATGTTATTTTGTTTCTCTAGATGCTTGGGTTTGGGATAAAAATGATTAGGAGCAACTGAAGCTGCACAAAAGTGGTTTGGTTATTTAGAGTGGTAACAAATGTTGTCTATTAATCCTGCAGCTGCTGTTTAGGTTAGCAAGCAGCCCAGCCACTGCCAGGTGTGCCAGAAACAGCTGTGTGGGGGAGGATCTTGGATAGCAATGGAGACTAAGGTTCTAACAACAGATAACCGAATACAAACAAAGCTGCTGTCTCAAGAAGATCCAACTTCGGTTATTTCTTTAACCAACAAAAAAAATTATAATAATTTCCTTGATTAGTTTGATCAAGTAAAACTAATTCAGAACAAACGGTTTCTCTATTTCAGAGCAAACTCAAAACTCTCCCTAAATTATTTTGAGTTTGTTCTGAAACAGAGAAACAAAATAAAGAATTGAAATTGAGAAAATGATGACGGCATACACTTGGGTGTGTCCAAAATAAGTGCTAACCTTGGGGAGGATTACAGTCTTTGCACACTACCAGAGAATCCAATAATCCATCTCAAGATTAGTTAGCACAATTTGTGGAACATAACTCCAAGGTCATTGACATAAAGTGAATTCCTGGGCCTATTTTGAAGCTCAACGAAAGACTGTGAAACACAACACAAACTTTGTCTGTGTGCTTTGATCTCCTCTTCCCCATTCCTTAAGCATAAGGAATCAGTCTAGCCTGTACGATATCTCTAGCACCTGGAATAACAAGCGGCACAGTCAGCAGATGCTCCAAATCAGGGTGGAAGTTCACAAGGACTTCCTGCCCTCTCACTGCCCACCCACATTCATGCACAGATAATGACCACATTTTGGGGAAGTTATTGTTTTTATTTCATTTATTTTGAGACAGAGTCTCGCCGTATGGCCCAGGCTGGAATGCAGTGGCACAATCCCGATTCACTGCAGCCTCCACTTCCTGGGTTCAAGTGATTTTCCCTCTTCAGCCTCTTGAATAGTTAGTTGGGATTACAGTTGCCTGCCACCGTGCCCGGCTAATTTTTTTTGTACTTATAGTAGAGATAGGGTTTCTCCATGTTGGTCAGGCTGGTCTCAACTCCTCACCTCAAGTGATCCACCTCCCAAAGTGCTAGGATTACAGGCGTGAGGCACCCAGCCTTGGGAATGTTCTTTTTTTTTTTTTTTAAGACAGAGCCTTGTTCTGTCCCTAGGCTGGAGTGCAGTGATGCAATTTCAGCTCCTGGCAACTTCAGCCTCCTGGGTTCAAGTGATTCTGCTGCCTCAGCCTCCTGAGGAGCTGGGACTACAGGTGCACGCCACCACAGGTGCATGCCACCACAGCCAGCTAATTTTTGTATTTTTAGGAGAAACGGGGTTTCACCATGTTGGCCAAGATGGTCTCCATCTATTGACCTCGTGAACCAACAGCCTTGGCCTCCCAAAGTGCTGGGATTATAGGTGTGAGCCACCATGACCTACACATGTTCTTAATCAGAAACTGACCAAGGGAAGGTTGGGAAGGGTTAAGTGAAAAACCAATGGATGTTTCAGTGACCGTTCCCCAGCTCTGCCAGCTTTTCCCCTAGAACTTTGGC